CAGTTTTTCTCAGTCTTACCCCCACCCCAATGCCAGCCTCATTCTACAACAGTGGCACCATATAGCATTTGTCCCTTTGTGACTGAGATACCTCACAGAAAAGTCCACTTTTAAACTAACACCATAAAAGCCCAACAGAAGACAATGTGCAGAAAATTTACAATTCAGCCACAGCAGTGCTTCAAGGGGAATGTATAGCTTTAATTTACTGCTAAATTTATGTCTCTAAATACTCCTATTAAAAAGTCAAAGTACTTTAAAATCAGTGATCTAAGTTACCATTTCAGAAAATTAGAAAACAAAAAATCAAATTAAATCAGATAAAGTAGAAGGAAAGTACTATTACTTAGTAGTAGTAGTAATATTCCTTATTATTAAGGAACATAAATCAATATAAAGATAAACCAAACTAAAAAAACCTGGGAAGAACACAACAAAAAACTAATGAAGCCAAAAGTTGGTTCCTTGGAAAAACTAAGTTACTGGGAATACGGAGATTACTAAGAAGGAAAATAATTGGAGTTCTTTCTCAATTTTTTAAAAAATTAAAATTTGTTAGAATTACTTGAGTAGGTGAGACTAGTTCCCAGTCAAGTTTATAGGATGAAAGGGAGCTCAGGGGAGGAAAGATAAATTTCAACAAGTGACCAGATATTTACATCAGACTATATTTGTCCTAGTTCCATATGTAACTGAGTCTAAGGACGATTTCTGATCTAATCATGGAAGCATGGTGGATATGTTTTGAATTACTTTCTAGTGTGCCTAGTAAAGTTTGACTAAGAAAGAGAGCCGGTTTATTTCCTTGAGTTATATTTTCAAAGGAGAGGCCTGTCCATGTAGAATATCAATGTGGAAAACCTGTAATACATGTTGTTGGTTTTGTTGTTGTTAAACATGGTAGAGTCCACTAGGACTCATAGCAACCCTATGAACAATGACTCTGAAACTTGCCCTATCCTGATCCGATCTCACTATCTCTAACACATCTGGCCTCATTGCTGTAGTCACCGTGCTAGTCTATCTCATTTAACGTCTTTCTCTCTCTTGTGCTGACCCTCTACCCTTCCAAAGTATGATGTCCTTCTCCAAGGACTTGCCTCTTCTGACAACTACTGTTAAAATAACAACAAAAAGTTTACCTATGGGAAAAAAATATTTGGTGGATATCAAGAAGGGAGAAGAAAGAAAGAAAGAATGTGTTAATGATAAAGATAAAGGCAATGTATAGTTGATAAAAGCAAAAGATATTGAATGAAATTCAAGAATAAAGGACAATTGGGCTCTTGTGGCCTAGCTGGAGGTGCAGTGCCAACCTCAAGTCACATGGTTCCAATCCACCAGCTAATCCTCAAGAGATAGATGGATAATCTTCTTCCATGGGATTTACAGCCTCTGAAAACCCGCTGGAGGGTAAGCTATGAGTTGGTTCCAGCTTGATAGCATACAACAACAACATAATAATTACTCAAACACAGACAAATTTACAACAATAAAGTTAACAACAATTGATGAACGGATATATAAATAAATAGGCATGCAAAGAAGTATGATAAAGAATAAACACCCACCAGCAAACAACAGTTTGGTTGTGGCTATTTTTACATATAAAATGATAGGTGCTGTGTGCATATTGACATAGATAATAGGGTGCAGAATGATCACAATCCTAGAAACGACTTAGATACTAATCAAACATCTCAAAAAATAAAGTTCCTAGGCTTGAAAGCCAAGGCCATACTATGCAGACTCAGAGACTATGTATATCAGTTATCACAACATAGTTCAAAAGAAAATGCTCTGCATATTACTTGGATGAGCATCTTCAGAAGTGTTAAAAGAGAGCCGGAGAGCTGGAATTTGAACCACACACAGGACAGCTGAGTCCCAGCCAAAAGACACCAGCCAAGCCACTGTGAAACCCACCCACCAGGAGCAAGTAGGGAGCAACTGCCTGCCACCCTGCGACTCCGAGAAGCAGCTGACAGCCCCCAGATTCTAAGAGACCCAGGAGGAACAACTGTCTG